GATACTACTTCCTGTAATATTGTCACGTATTCATCTAATACGTATAAACACCAGTTTATTGTGAAAAACAAAACTATATATATTACGTAATAGACAATTCTTACTGCGTAATAGTCTACCCAGTCATGAGCTTTTTTAGAGGTAAAGGGTGATCTTCTATTGTGGTGAAATTTTCTCGCCTGCTAGGAGTCCAACCGTAGCCACCACATACTTGAAATCCGTCCTCTATTAGTAGAACATTTTGGCGAAATTTTTTTTTGAAATTGCCCTAAGTATTGTCCGACTTTTTTGGCGGACGCAATAGAAAACTAGTGGTCTTCTATTTGGATTTCAGGTCATATAATTGACAGTGGTCGTCTAATAGAGAATGGCCTTCTATATCAGGAGTTATTTTAATGTTTAATTGTCTAAACATTATTTTGTGTTGTACTTAACCAGCTTTTCAACGTTTTCTGTACTACAAAAGTCGGGAGTAAAAGATTTTATCTGAAAATCACTTCTTTTTATCTTTGAGGTATTTTGAAATCAACGTCTCTTATATAAATAAATAAAATATTTTATCATCAATACAAAATCAAAGATCAATTTCATCAAGATTCAGTTTAGAATGCTACCTCTAGTCACAGTATGGTACCATTAAGATTAGAGTAATTGATGTTGATAAATTTATTCAGAAACAAGGTTTTTCTGCTTGAGATACTCTTCGAACATTGAACTAATCATTGCCTGTTTAGCTTTTACATGACTAATAGATTTATTGATCTCTAACATCACACAATCTTTCTTTTTCCTGGTTTTCAGAGGTCCCAAAGATCGAACGTTACACACACAATGGAAAAATAAATGAAAAATCGTGGTTTTTTACCAAACATCCTAGATGGATGAGCCCTTAGAGCAAGATTAAGCATGCGATATAAACAACAATCACGAGTGTACCAGCACGCAATCTGACCTGAATCATAGATAGTTTCGAATTCATCAATGATATCAAGCTAAAACTTGTCACTCAAATATTGTTGTTTACATAATTGTATAAGATCATCCTGTTCATTTTCAGATTATTTTAATCTTGATAGATTTTTAATAAATAATTGAAACCACATAAATACGGCATTTAATTTTGAATGAGATTGTTGATTTGGTTTGAAAATACTAATTGAAACAATAGATTCTTCTTTTTTTGCGTTCATATTTAGACATAATTCGAATTAGCTCTTCGGAATCTGTAGCAATAGCACGAATCTAGAAGTCACAGGAAAGTGATTATCTTTTTATTAGTTTTTTGCATTTTGTTACCTTTGAATAAGTTGTAGATCACTAATCAGTATCTATTTTACCCATATTATAAACATAAACATCAGTAAGTCGTGGAAAATCGTGAATATGGGATAAAATCTATTGTGCCCATTGAGGTGATATAATTAATACACTATTGCCATCAAAATCTGTTAAATAATCGACACATTCATCCTCATTATCAAACATTTTAACATAATCGATTGATTGAATAGATGCTGTTAATAAATGGGCGGTTCAGCATGTATTTTCAAATCTAACCATAATACAGAAAATATTTTTATTAAACTTGTTTTTGAATCTACAATTGGCGATTGAGGTAATACAGTAGTAGCCAAAATTCTAGGTTCACTTGTTCGAATTCGATTGTCTGACCATTCTCCATCGTTGTGCAACCTTGTGCAAAGAAAAATCTATGTAGATACATGCATTCGAGTGTGCTCTACCCGAATATGAGATCAGATTTGCTTGATACCACTTTCGAATTCGAGAAAAGAAATTTTAATTGAGACACGTCGTTTTTTGCCACTACCGTAGTGGCGATGCTGGTGAACGATTTTGAAAATATGATGGCATATACATATCTGAAATTTCTTGATTATATTCATCAATTTTATAACGTTCTGTCATCTGCACGAACGGTTATTTTATCATTTTGGTGAAAAAAATGTCAAGATTCACTTATTTGGTCGTTTCTATGTAAGAATACTTATAACTTGCAAAAATATTAACTTGTTTGCACTTACTGTTCTTCGACCTACTTTTTTAGGCATATTTTTTCCGCTTCACAAAGAAGTAAAGAATTTGTACTTATGAGGAAACATAGTCGAGACTCCAAAGTATATTATCCAATATGAAAATTATATCACAAATACTTTTAATGTTTGGCTAAATATCTGCCTGAACGTTCACCCATTGCGGCACTTCTGAAGACATGTACCATTTTTTTTGGTTTAATTTATTTATCTTTTAGGACACTTACCGTTTTGATCCCGGAAAAAATGCACAACTGATCCCGTATACCAAAATTCTTTTATCGGCCTCACTCAGTGTCATATCGCCGATCCCTCGCCGCCTTTGATCTTACACAAAGTTTTGTAAACGGGATCAATTGTGCATTTTTTCCGGGATCAAAAATGTATTTATCCTATCTTTTATGCAAAAATGAATCGAAATAGATTGTTTGAACAAGTAGCCAAGAATGAATGCAGATATATTGTTTTAATTAATTAGTTCAGAAAGATTTACTATGGAAAATGAAATTGAATAGATTTCCTTGTCGACCATGTATAAATTCAAACTGTGAATACATTTAAATAGACTTTACAAAATAACTATATTTCAGCGAATTTATTTTCAAAAAATAAATCTAATGAATAAAATTCTTTTATAATTGATTTGGCTAAAGTTTTCTTGTAAGTTTCTTAACAGTGATTTTTAAAACCCTTTTTAAGAAGTACAAGTAGCCTAAAAAACATTGTTTTCTAGAAGTCTTACTACCGAGCATTTTGGAGGAAACTTTCTAGAGAAGAAAAGAAAGAACACATTGAGAAACTCTTATAAACCAAAGGACAGCCCCATAACATTTTGGGGTTCAAAGATAGCCTAGACCAGTTTTCTGGTGTAACACGCCTATTACCATTTGTTAACAGTAATACTAGAAGTGAGGGGATAGGAATATTCATAAAATTACTATTACTTTTCAGGGTAAAGTAATTCAAAAAATATTCAAACGATTTCCTAACGTGTTCTTGGATGAATAATGAGGTATTTACGCGAAAGAAAACTTTTTAAGGAGTTTCTAGATTAATGACGCCATTGGAATTTTGAAAAGCTCTATAAAAAATTTATATTTAAAATTGCAAATGGACCTGAAAACAATACAGGTTTTCGCAAATGAAGAGAACAAAACCGCGAGTCGCAGGTGCAAAAGCAGGGTCAGATAATTTCAGTGGTGTTTTAGTCAACACTTTAGGCTATAGATATAGCCTAGGCAGAGCAAAGAAGTAAGAGAAAAGGAAAAGAATAGTTTTACAAATATACTGAATAGACGGCATAAAAACAAGGCTTCGTGCTATACAATCTTTCGTAACTTACATATTTTCTGCTCTCTAAAAAAAAGGTTTTATTACGAAACTTAAAAGGGTATAGAGAAGTGCAACCATTTCTAAACCCTTTTTGGGTTTCGTGAAAGACATGGTGCAGTACGAAACCGTTTAAGTGCATAAATTCTAGCACTTTTTTAAAAAAAGTTTTTTCTGAGCAAGCGGATCCTTTCAGCAGCTTAGGCGTGTTTTTATTGTATAGGGCGAAAACTGAGCCAAAAAAATATCTGAAACTTCCGGAATTTTTGATTTTTGGAGAAAAAAATCATGAGGAAAAAATATAATGATATAAGCAAATCAATCGTTTCAATGCACTTAAAACGGTTTTGTACTGCACCATGTCGTCTACGAAACCCAAAAAGGGTTTAGAAATGGTTGCACGTCTCTATACCCTTTTAAGTTTCGTAATAAACCTTTTTTTAGAGGGTAATCTGACTATTCACAGCTTTCTCTTCTTCCTTTGTATGCAATAGGTACAAGTTATGTTTTCTACATAAAAACGACTAAACTATCGCACATAGACCTTTTTACGTTGAAATGGTAAAATGTCTGCTCCAACTGATGAAGAACATAATCCGAATGACTTTTTGTCTCGTCTTGATTAAAATGCACCACTGGTAAGACAAAATACTCGATCACGTTCCTCGTCTTCGAACAGTTATCAAGCCCGTACTACAATCACACGAGATGTGCGACACAATGAAAATGAGGAGACGAAGGAAGAGAATAGTGAGAAGCTCAACTGCTCAGATCAGCGAACAGCAATATGTCGAGTGTCAATTGAAGTATCAGATCATGAAAACGATCAGAAGCCGCCTATCACGTCCGCTTCAACAACACCAGAGCCAAAGTCAAAACTACAAAAGATTATTTTAAATTAATAGCTCCAAACATTTATCAGTGGAAACTATATGAGAAAATATTACTTTCTCATATAGTATCGGTGGTCTGGTATAGGATCTACTCCTCCGTCTTCATTCAACTTCCTGGACACTGTTAGCTTTTTATTACAAATAAAAACATATATACACTCACACAATAGAAAATAGTAACTAAATTTATTACATTGTCAATTTCGTTTGTGATACTGTATCTTCTTTATATAAATTATCAATAATATCTTTATATCTTTGTTCAACAGCTTTCCGTTTTAATTTTAATGCGTCCGTTACAAGACCACTGTCTGGTGTCCATGAATCAGCAACAACTTTGATTTTTTGTGGTATTTCAAAACGTTCAATACCACCTAGAGAAGAAAAAATAAGTCAAAAAAAAGAAGTGAGAAAGATCCTCCTCATCTTCGAAATTACTCTGTTTAAAACTAAAAAAATCCATAGAGTGACCATCTACCAAAATATTGTCTATTGGAGTTTCCTTCGATCCTTTGGAAAGGCTTTTAACTAGACACTTGATGCAAAAGCGTCTTCACCTTTAAAAAGGTGGGATATTAAAACCGGCAGTACAACAAAATCGTCAGATTTGTGTAGATTTTTATCGAAAAAAAAGGACAGAAAATCAAATTGAAGCTTTCTGAATCGATGCTGATCAAACATCATTTCTTTTCTTACCTTTTCTACACGCATCTTGTACATCTTTTAATATTTTCTCATTGAATTTTTCATCATCCAATAATTTTTGCCATTCTTTTGTATTAAAATATTTATCACTATACGCCTAAAAGAAGACAGACATTTTCATTTTTCACTTTCTTTTCATGTTTAGATGCAACAACTAGAACTTTCGAACACATACATACAGTCATTTGTTGTGAATTTGGACTTAGTAACATGACAGTGTATTCAGCTGATGATGATGCGTAGAGACAACAATTTTCAAATATTGATACTTTAGACACAACCATTTCAACTTTTGTTAACGAGACATATTCACCACTACGTAATTTGACTAAATCTTTTTTACGATCTAAATGACACAAATAGATAGTTTATCAGTTGAAAACAGTCATTTTTTTTTGTTTGTTCCAAGTGACAGAAAAACAGAACGAAAGATTTTTTAATAGATGAAAAAACGTAAACGTTTGGCTGTTTGACGGTGAAAATGAACGAAAAATTGCATCATTACACGTCAGATTGTAGCTCTTGACGAGTTGATTCTAATGGTGAAGGAATTCTGGCTCCATCTAACTTTACGTTCGAGTGGTACTCAATTTATCAGAAAAATTCCTGAAGTTTGACCTCCATTTTCTCCTAAACGCTCCGAAAATCTTTCGAAATTTTTTCAGAATAGGAACTACTTAGTAGGATCTATAACTTTGCCCATACAACTATGCTTGACACTTTCCACCCTCAGTTTTCCAGAAATCCTCTTAGAAAA